TGGTCCTACCGCCATTCTCAATCTCTTCATTCTCGCTGTCGGAGTCATCCAAGCCACTGTTAATTGCTTCTGAAGGGGCGCTCGAGGACGAACTCGGCAGTGGCCGAGGCAGAGCCGGGTATGCTTCCCATACATTGCAGGGGAAGTTGTCGCGGAAGGCAGGGAATCCCCCGAGAGGCCGTCTACTTGGGGAATAAACGCGCATCCTCTCGGCGCGTATGGCAGGTTGGGGACCGGAATATATTGATGTTGAGGTGTAATCTGCGTGGTTGAAACAGGAGGGAAACCCGGGGCAGGCGTCGGTATGAAGGTCTTTATTGGACAAAAGCCTTGAACATGGGTCCAGCGACCAGAATTTCCGGAGATTTCTAGAGATCTCAAGAGAACGGTTGCGGGATTGATCTAATGATTTTATAGATTCGAGAACAATTTATGGACGAAACGGCTGTGAAGATTCGAAGTGGAAACATAATTTCCTGGTTGTGTTTCCCAACCAAGTCCGTTTTCAGTCCCCTCAATCCACCCCGTATACAAAGACCCGTACCTGTCTCATTATTTGTTAGGCCCCGCTAACTTATATTCTGTTTTGTAGTGACTTGACGAGACAGACAAGAAGTCGTCAAGCATTACGGTGGGCTTAGAATACAGTCGGGCGTGTACTTTAAATAGTGGTGAATATATTGGATTGGCGGCAAATATATTGGATTTTTGGCATTTGATACAATGTGAAACTCTGGCATATCTGTTGCGGGACTATCCCAATGAATTCTTCGTACAGGCCGACAATAGTAAAGGCAATGTGTGTGTCAAAAATGAATCAAGAAAGAGACACTGTGTATCATAGAACGCATGACGCTTAGATTATCCGTCCATCCACTTCTGCCCGCCACCGGCTTGTCCACTCTTTGAGGCTGCCAGGTCTGGCGTCCCCAACGGCGATGCGCCAGTCAGGTTGTTCTTCTGTGTCGTACTGTCATTGTGCGCCTTGACTGGCTGAAGACCCACGTACATAAGGCTACAAGCTGTTGATGCGATAGAAGCGTACCTCCTTCAACAGGCATGGAGCACACTGGTTTTGAAAAGGCCCTGTGTACAACAAATACGTGTGGCCTGTATCTTGCGAAAACGGAACGGGTTCAAACCTTGTGGGAAAATGCGCAGCCCCGATCTTTTTTCGAGGGCGCGAGACAACCTGTCCTCCTGATCCGGCATTGAAAAGAGGACATTGAAATATGGTAAATCATCGGAGTTGATGGTTTGCTTGGGTGGCACAAGCTCCGCCTCAGGCTCGGTCTCGGAAACCTACACTCGAGATTGAGAGACCGGGATTTCGTGAAATTCGGAGACTCACAATTTTGTCGCGATGGGCTTCTGGGACAAGCAACACCACCTAACGTTGCCGCATTCAGCACACGAAAGAAGATGGACAGAAAGGGTCTCATACTGAAGGTTCGGGTTCACGCGGTGTACTAGACATGTGCGCCGGTGGGTCCACTTTGGTGACGGGGAACAAAAACACGTCAAGCGTCACGTGCATACTAGAATGGACAGCCGGAGCACCACGCTTTCTTAAGCGACGTCCGGCAGTCATTCGTAGCCGATTGCTTTGATAGCAGAATCGAGAACAACCGCAAGTGCCTCTTCTTCATGGCAGAAGATCATTTGACTGACGGGATCTACTTTTGCATTTATGCGACGCTTTTCACCGGGCTTTATTGGAGCAGGAAGGGGTTTGAGAGGTTTTTTTGTTTTCATTTTTGGCCGTGTTTGAGCTTGTGAGCTTGTTGCTAAGCCCACAAGCACAAAAAGGTCGCAAGCGATCTGTCAAAAAGGCTGATGTACGCCGTGATATCTCTCCGAGGTTCATCCACCCATAAATGAGCTCATGCCCTCGTCTCACCAGCATTCCTCGCCCTCGACTTACTGCTTCGAAATTTCAAAAATCTCCCGTCCGCAAACTCACTGGTCTCTGCTTGGGCATTCCTTGAACCTAAACCTGAATGTGAGGCTCTGTGTGTGCTGTGTCCAGTTCAACATTCATCAGCAGTTGCCACTTCATCTGCAACTTTGAACACCGACTTGTATTGTGAATGTCCCGTATAAACCCATTGCACAACTGACAAAATGGTTTAGATGCACGCAGTCAGGCCCAAAAATTGCCTACCTTGCCCGCCGGCATCAGCCCTTAATAAAGTTTTTTTTTTTTTTTTGGAGGGAACCACAATCCTTGCAGACACAAGCTCAATATTGACTTCAAAATTTGCCTTAAATAACGTGGGCGGCTTTTCAACCGATTTCCGTGTCAACCAAACACTGTTCGTCCTGCCACCCGATTACTTCTGGGTTAAATTTCTTCAAAGTTGGCAAGAGGGCGGGCGTATTACGCCCACCCTGAATCTCAGCACCATGGGTCACCAACTTCATGAACGAGTGTGGGCAAAACTGTACTGTGGACTTCTTGGTGCTGGGGTAGATGGAGGAGGGACGCATGGGCAATATTCAGCACGCAAATATTAAGATGTGATTGAGATGTGGACGAGGATCGTTTACTTAGAGAATGTAATGCAGAAATTACATTTAGGTGTCTAGTATTAATTCAACTTCCATTTTGCCGTTTGCGACTGAAATCTTGAGGCGGAACCGATCTCGAGGGGTGCATGATCCTCAGTGTATTCTACCGTTCATGACCTTTTGAATCACAGGAGGGATCAGAAACCAGTTCTGGCCTGGAGATCCCCTTGAGAATGGTCCTGTGGTTTCTCCGAGCCTAACATGAGGGATTCAGAACCTCATCTCATCGCACAACCAGTGATTTCTGTAGGAATAGCCTAATGTTGGTTATATTTGATATATGTACGATATAAAAAATCGGGGGACGTCATGCCCTCCGGATTCGCATTCCCGTTCTCTACATATAGTTTCCAGAGAGATACAACAAGTATTGAGCCCACAACAGCAAAAAAGAAAATTTTTGACCAAAAAGCCCAAAAAGGAGAGAAAAAGAATTCGGTCATTCTTTTTGTCCATATAGTGTAAGGACACTGCTTATTCACTCCTTTCACAAAACTCAATCCAACATTCGACCTTCACGAATGCCCAGAGATGGAGAGAATAATCATGGCATCCAGGTCTACATGTTGTCCCTCTCGAAATATTAGGTCACTGAGCCCAGTTCTAATGAACGTTGCCTTTGTTCAGTTGGAGTATTCAATAAGAACTTATTTTGTGAATGGTTGAAACACACCATGGCCGGGTGGCTGTGGAAAGCTTAAATATGACCAGTGCTCTCTTATCCCAGCTAAACCCGACAGAAATGCATTACTCGTTATGACCAAAAGTAACCGGAAATTCGGTTTTAACGACATCTGACCCAAATTTTTCCCATTCTTGTGATCAAATTCTCAATCTATGAAGAGTTTGGCATGTAGCGCACTTGAACCTGAGGTGCAACATCTCATACCAAGTGTATTATTAAATTTGGAAATTGATCGAAAATTGCTGATATCTCCCTCCTTGTGATTGTCTTGATGGTATTTCTGGATATCTTAATATCTGATAATTAGCCATTGACCTATAGGAATATGCAAAAACAAATCTAGGGGGTGTACAGACTTCCTAAATGGCTCCATGAATAAATTGAAAGAGGCTAAAAATCTCTGCCTTGATCAAAAATGATTTAAATCCCGATTTTCACAGAAAGAAAGTGCAGTAGATGCTGTTTTTTGATTGGATATGTTGAAGTATGTTCCTTTCCGAATTCTGGATAATGGATTTTCCAAAGGATACCATATCCGGCCAAGAAGCACCTCTTCCGGTTACTTTTGGTCATAACGAGTATAATGCACGTGCTAGGCCATTCATTTTGAAGCACGGGCTTCAAAATTGTGTAGAAAAGCAACTTTTGTAAGCATATATCCCGAGTGGAAAAATGTTTTCCGACACACCAGGTGCTGGTAAACGAACCTGGCTTGAAAGGAAGGTACAAAAGGCATTATGCAACTTCACACTGGTTGGCGAATCAAACAAGTGCAGAAGGCAAAGAAATATTCTCCGCACCGCGGAGGAGGAATGATCAAGACCAAGAGGTGAGCGGATCAAAGAAAGCGGATATATTCCCCCGACCCTCCCATCAATGATCGCAAATTTGAGTACCTGCAAAATCCTTGGATATTCGCGTTGAAAATGAGATTGTGTTGCATAAGTTGTGATGGCAATGGCCCAGGATCCATATCTTTCAGTTCACGCTGGGCGAGCTGGTTTGAATGAGGTTCCCTGATGCCACAACCGTGCCGCTTACCAAGAGTTGCTTTTTCGAGAGGGGGGGGGGGGGGGGGGGGGGGTGGCGTGGGAACATATCCGCTTTCTTTGATCCGCTCACTCTTGATCAAGACCCAACAACTAACAGATGTTCTGGACATCTTCTGCCTTGGGATAGAAGACACGTCCATTAGAGAGGTTGCGCAAAAGCCGCACGCAGCAATATCCTTTTTTTGCTCCGGAGCATCACTGGGACTCTCAAATAGTCTCTTTTGACCACCAGAGCAAAGAAACAAAAAAGCCGCATGCGGCTTTGCGCAACCTCTCTATTATCCTCTATATACAGTAAAAGATTTATCGACTGTAATAAATCTTGTGGAGTCTGACTACGAGAGACTAAAGAGATCTCTTTCTTCAGAATTTCTCACCAGCAGGGAAATCGAAGAGAAACGTTCCCAATCGTCAACCTTCCAAGACCTAGTCGCGCTCCTCTACAGCCGGCCTCCGGCTTCCTGTCGGTCGTATCCACCGTCTGTTGAAGAAGGGCAACCACGCTCAACTCCATTATCGCCGTCGAGTACACAAGTAACCGTTACCCGGCGAGTTTTTCGTGACGCCTGACGAACCTCCACCGAGACTCAGGTGACTTGAAAAACAGCCGGCACGCCCGCCATAAGGTATTCTTTACCCCTTGGCTTGAGATTTGAGGAAAAGAAGAAAAAAGGATGGGGTTTGCCGACCCATGCCCTCGGAAGGAATCGAACCTCCGTCTCCTCGGCCTACACACTCCTTTGCCATTCAAGCGAGGCGATCACCATGATCCACGAAGGCTGTCTGCGCAACACCAGCAGCACAGGTATTGAAGTCAGATGTACTGTAGTATTTCATTCAATCCGTAAGTCACGCGTCACAGCGCCCAAATTTAGGAAAATTTTCGTACATGTCACAGGTCACCGAGGGCATCTTCGAATGTGCCAAAAAAAAGTCGCGAAAATGCGTGTAAAAATTCCAATTTTCGACCGCGAGGCGCATGTGGTGAGCGGAAATAAATCGGCCAGTCGACAGCTTACTTCCGCCTCTCATTTCGCTCGCTCCCCCTCATTTGTGGCTTGTTGACTATGTGCAGTGTCTTGGTGCAGTGCTGTATGTACGTACACTCCATTCTATACCCTACAGCACTGAACAGCCTTATTATGAATGTCTGAGAGGTGGCTCTGCTATTTTCCGGCGAAGTTATGAAAATTTTGGGTGTCACGGCTGCGCCAGCCCATTTTCGAAATCCCAAGTTCGAATTGTCACGGGTCAGAG